AAACATGTAATCGTGTACAATGGTCAGCAAGCAAGTATTGCGGGTAGAAATTTCTTTCCAAACGACTGGAGTATGGTGTGGAAATCTAACAACAATATCAAGGTCAATCATTTTCCTATTGAGGTCGAATATGCTGTTGATCAAAGCAATAGGTGAAAGTTCTGATGGTATTTAATAAGCAGTTAATTTACTCAAGCATTCACGTGCTGTATACCGCTGGGTGCCAGAGACTTTTCATGCGCGGTTTCCGGTTTCGGTCAGATGTGTTATATGGGTACATCATCAGTCTTTTTGAGAGCAATAGTGATTTCCGTACCATAGCAAAACGAGACGTTTTCAAAACTTTTATAAACGTTTTCTAGAGTTTATTGAGAGAAGGATAATACATTTCATAATGTAATTAACATGAACAATAATAATGTAATAATAAAAAACTGGAAGAAAAAAGCTCTGAAGTGTGTTCTTGTTAGAACACTTGATAAGAACACTATGGACTGAATCTCTGTTTCTGATTTGCATTCATTAAAAGCCTTGTATCCGTTTTCATATACAATCTATTTAAGTTGCCTTATTATTAAAGCTAGGCTGATGAAGTATTTCTTTTATTTTTTTGCCAAAAAAAGTCCATTCGAGTACGCATCACACGTACATTCGTTTGAAATTTTAAAACATACGTTCAAATACAAAATTAAATATTGATGGGTTATCCCTCTTCAACCAATCTCCGACAATTTCCAGCGTTTTTCCTTAAAAATACGTAGTCTTGAGGTATGCAGCCATCGCCCTGTAAACCGCGCGAGAAATGACACGTACTTCGCAAAATCAGAGAGAAGATATTTTTGATTTTTTCTATCTTCTACCCCTGGGACAGAACTTCTTCAAACAATTCCCCATCCCCGGACCCAAAGAGCTGGACCTGTCCCGGGGGTTGCCCGTGGGGGATGGCCAAGTCAAACTGAACAAGCATGGATAACTATTAGAACCTTGGGAAAGAGGTTGATTAGCACCTTCCTTCCCTTCTCTTTGGAACTATTGGTAAAGTGACAGTTTTATTCTAGAGAGGTGAACGCTGCTACGACGATATTAATAGGGACTTAAAGCAGCGACTTATTACAAGTCGCTTATTTTGTCAAATGTAGGTAAACTCATTGAGGAAAAAAGTTCGTCTTCGTTTGTTTACGTCCTAAATAAAGCGTGAAATTAGGCATTTTCACGTCGTAGTTGTGCAGTGATGGCAAAGAAATGTTCATAAAACAATAAAGACAAAGATGCACGTGCAAAGTTGTTGATTTGCTAATTAAACTTATTGACTGGCCGCCCTGCGCGTCCCGAATGCGTAGAAGATCATGGAGGGCAGTAGTGTCTAGTACGTAAAGTATTTAGTTGTATCATTTTACGTGCTTAGAACGCCAGTGTATATTTGAAACAGAATCGCAAGATATACGCATTTTATCATTTTTTGGTCTTCCTTGGAAATTTCTGAAGGTTCATTTTTCGATGAGCCTCAAATTTCGGTGTCAAACACGACACCCAAGTGAATCTGAGTACAGACAAATACGCAAAATACAGTTGACGGGAAAGAGCATTTCATGAGGGATATCATCTCACCAAGTGGTGTGAATAAGACTGATAAAACACAAGCAAGCCCTGAATTTGCCCATGAGTCGCCCTTTTTTATGAATGTTTTTTTAAACATTCTCTTGCCGTGGGGGGTCACTGCACGGCCTCAACCTCAGGAAGAGTTCGCCAACATTTGACAACTATAAGCGAGTTGGAATAATCGCGATAAAGAATAAAAGAACGCGAATACACTTTGAAGCGACGTTTTTACCGCTATAGCCGTCGTGGTATCTTAAACTCTCTGACTTAAGGCATTGACGGGTGACGAATAAAAAATTACTTCCGGTCACCATACTAGAACCTTCCGTAGTCTTTGCTTAAAGTCCCGCTATTTACAGGTCCACTACTGCGCTCCCAATGATAAGGAAAATCTACAACCACTGACCCAGTTGTTTAGCTCGTACCTCACAATCAGGTCACAAATCACATAGTCTGTTACACAGCCGTTTTTAGAGTCGTCACGCTATGCTCCTCCCCACTAGAGGAGCGTTGCGTGACGACTCTAAAAACGGCTGTGACTCACTCTGCACCTACCGAAATGCTTGTTGGGGTACCCTGCTTAAGTTCCGCTGGGGCTATGAAGTTCATCAACCGAAGCGCTAGATCTCAAGTCAAACTCCACTAGAATATATTTTCTTTATCGATTTTGAGAATTTGACTCTAAATTTTTAGATTTATGAATATATTCCGCCTCAAGCGTTCATTGGCCTTTGTTCCCACCCCGGAAATTGTTAAGGTAATTTATTCAACGTGGCCACCGTACTGACGTACTGGTCGCAACAGCGGAGCGGGAAATTGAACGTTTTATCTCTCACGTCTTATAAAAATTTCAGCTTGCTAAAGAGTCCGGAAGCCCAAAGGATGGTAGAAGTCATAACAGAAGGTGATTTTCGTTTCGGCGACAACCTAAAGTACTTACAAAATGGATTGATACAAGGTACCCTATGGTGCCAAGGCTTTCAAGTCTATCCGGAGTCGTTTTCCTTTGACAAAACACATCTGTACCATTTCACACGCTCGGCCAGACGTGTGATAAGGGACGCGATGACCACTCGTCTTATGCAAGAGCTTGGGCAACCGGAATTGCAAGCGCCTCTACGTGCAGCTTTTAATAGCCCCTACAACTACTGGAATTATAAATTAGGAACAACGGACGAGTCGCTGAGATTGTTGATATTCGTCTGCAATCATGGCGGGCAGTTCGTGGCTGATGTTACCTTCAAAAGCAAAGCTTTCTTACCGGCTCCTTATCTTACCCAGTATGCTGTGGCTGTGACACTTGTCTGCCACCGCTATACGTACTTTCAGCCACGGGATGTTTTAAGCACCCAAATGGGACAACTTCAACTAAAATGGTGAAGATGACGAAGCACGAGGATCGTAAATGAACAAAACGTTTCCTACAAACGGACAGTACAAACCTGTAGTTTGATAGTTAAGTCAAGAACACAGGGGACTTTTGCCCCATTCACTTGACATTGTCCAAGGAATCAACTGTCTTATGGGAGATGGTGAGGACAAACTTTACGTGAATCGTGATTATCATAGTTTTTAATAAGCTTAGGTTAATCAGCATCACTGACGCCAAATGGAATTCCCAACGATGTAAAAATTAAGTCAAGTGTACAGAGTAAGCTCGCTCTCGTACAATAAGCCGCACAACTTGGTCCTGGGTAATATAACTGATTAACTGATTATAACTGTATTAACTGATTATTAACTGATTATGACTGATTGTAACTTGTCATCGACTTAAAATTTAGTCGGTCATATTAATGTAAAGCAGTGGTTATCGCCACCTAGAAAAATGAAAGTTAAGGGTGCCGAAAAATTCTCCCATTAGTACAGAGGATTCCACGAGATGGAAAGCTTGGGACCTTTTAGAAATAATATGGCTCGTTAAACAACACAATAAACAGTGTTAAGGTAATAGTGTTTGGCAAACTGAAAATGGCTTTTACCCTTTGTCACCGGGCATATAGGATTTACTTCACTTTTTTTCAACCGTGTCGTGACGTCGTGAGATAAATTTCATTTCTCGGAAAGGAAGGAAGTCTATGATGTCAAGTCAGATGAGTGCTAACCGTCAAGTCATCGGTAGCTAGAAACATCACAGAGTTCGCCGTTTATTGTCAGTACAGTAAACGGCGAACTCAAAATCCTTCAAAATCGCTCAAAAATTCGCTTTTGAGGCAAAAGGACGACAATTTACTACAGGTAAGGTAATTCAACGTTTATTTAACATTGATTTACGTACATACTTAGCGATATTTCGTTATAGGTGAGGCAAACGCTAAATCCAGTACATTTACTTTAAAATAACAATCGGCAACCTTGTTCCCAGAACGAGGTTGAAAACATACGGTTTACAGGTTTACACACACAGATTGTGTGGGTACCCTGTGGATACATTGGTGTTCTGTACTGTATGATACATTCATGTCAATTGAACATCATGTCACAGCCGTATGCAAGACAGGCTTCTATCACCTTCAAAACATTAGCCGCATGAGGAAATATATTAGTCGCCATTCGGAGGAAGTACTTGTGCATTCTCTTATTTCTTAGAGCCTTATTGGACTTCTGTAATTCACTTGTGTGAGGACTCCCGAAACAAACTATCAAGAGACTTCAGCATGTTCAAACTGTAGCGGCCAGAATCGTTGCGCTTACACCTAAACATGAACATATCTCACCAGTATTCGGGAACTCCATTGGCTTCCTATAGAAGAGCGCATAACTTTTAAGATTCTTTTAATGACCTTTGAATGTTTAAATGGCTTAGCTAGTTCATATTTGTCCGACCTAGTTACGAGGTATATTCCACGGCGCAACTTAAGATCAGCCAATACCCATCGCCTGCTTGATGTCCGATATAATCTACACAACTTGTATGGTTTCCAGTATCTTGGATGTTGCACTTACATGCGCAGTAGAGAGTAACAGTGCAAAATAAGGAGCAGGCAAAGTGGAGGAGGACTAGGTGGCGCCCTTCAACCCCATGTAGCTCAATGTCGTGACAACTGTTTTTCAGATGAAACAATTTAATTGAGAATTTGATCTGTACTGTTGAATCTTAATGTCCTAAGCTCGACCGAAGATCGCAGATGATTGACGGAAGATCGTCGTCTGCTCGATATATCGTTAACATCAGACTTGGCATCCCTGTTTGTTCTATCAGAGACCCGATGGCAGGGCAGCCGGCGACACAACAGAATTTCTTCAAATCCCTGGCGGTAATTCTCACTGAAAATAGCATAAAGAAACGGCGTGAGTGCAGCGTTAAAATGAGCCAGGAGCAGCCTTAGGTATAAAACATTACACGAAACGTGTATGCCATTTTTTCGAAGAACCATCAGAATAAAATACAAGGACCAGCAAATTAGGAACGCCGCTACAACAACAAGAACCATTCTCATGACTTTGCGATTAGTTTTCTCGTGGCGTCTGCAGGCAGCATCTGAAATAGAGTTTCCTGGAATTCCTCTTCTGTTCATGATCGCTATTATAGCGATGTTGAAGACGAATGTCACCGCAAAGGGAACGGCGTACAATGCTACGAAAACAATCTTGAAGTAGATTCTGCCTGAACCTGCGCCGAAGGTTAAATCGAAGTCTACCACGCAATACGTTTCACCTTGAAATGGATGTACATCTGTATGTCGCGAGTGGAGTCGGAATTTTAACGATTATTGCGATAAGCCACATCCCAAATATGGACAACAAGCACGGTTTCTTCCTTATGAAAGTCCGCAGAGGAAACAAAACGGCCAGCCAACGTTCTAAGCTTATCGCAACAATATTAAGTACAGAAACGATTATTGTTATTTCCATTACAAAAGGTACCATACGGCAAAATATCATGCCCAATGTACCATGCAGCAACCACTTATAGCCGAATGACACGATTGTAACGACACGAGGGACCGAGATAACAGTGAATATTAGATCACTGAACGCCATATTTGCGATGAAGAAGTTGATGGTTTTTCTCATGGTTTTGTTTCTGTAGACTACAGCTAGCACTACAGTGTTCCCAATAACAGCAAACAAGAAGATAACCACGTAGGGAGAAATGCGAAGAGTGCGCACCCAGTGTTTATCATATCGATAGCATGGCGCTTCTAGAACTGATTGAGAATCGTTTGAAGTAGAATTAAAAGACTCCATCTTTACGAAAACCCTCAGTCAGCGTTGAAAGTGTGAATGCAGCTGAAATCTCACTCTTCCGTAACTCCTACACTGTTCTGAGTATAACTTTAAATATCCAGATGAGGGTTATTGATAAAGTCGTCAGACAATTGTCTCTTTTCGGTTTTGTGTAACTTGTACAAGCAAGAGAAATTTTCGTCGGTAAATACCGAATGAGCCAGGAGTGAAGTACAATTAGATATTGGTCGTCAAAGAATTGTTGGTCATTTATCATTTGTTAGATGAAGTTTGAAAAATTGCCCATTTTGATGTCTTTTCTGAAATATTTGAGGGGAATGAGGGTGTTGGCAAACAAACCCCAAATACTTTGTAACGTCAAGCGTTTGGAAGGATAAGTGTCCTCCAATTGACGATTTGCTCTTGTCGTCTAAGCGCTTTATTGCGCTGTATTTAAATACAGATCTAAGGGCCTGTTTACATGGAGTGGGGGACCCCGGTCTAGCGGGGTTGGTTTCTTTTGTTTTCACGCTCTGGAGGACACAAAACTAAAGAAACCTACTCCACTAGACCGGGGTCCCCCACTCCATGTAAACAGGGTCTAACTCAAAATAAATACAGAAACCCATTGTATAAACACGACAAAGGATTTCGAGCTCAGCCAATTTAGTTTACAAAGGAAAGATGACAGTTTCTTTGAAAACTTAAGATTTAATATTGTAATTGCACGTTGCAGGCCAATAGTGAGACAACTCTTATCTTTTTGATATTAAATTACTTGAATTAAATGTATATTGTATAAGGAAATTATCTGTACATCCGCTTCTTAGCTTTGTGGCTTCATAAAAGTAATGCTAAACTAAAAAGCGGACTTCGGTCTGTCTATCCTTTATGTTTCTGGACCCAAAAAAACAGGAGTGGGGTCAGATTTGCAATAAACCAGAATCGTTTGTCTCTGTAGGACGTTTCAACAACCAGTTTCACTGCCGATTTCCGTTAGGCCATCCCCATAAAATGTTTCGTTTCCAATCGCCCGACCGACCCATTTTTATGGAAAAGTAAAAAAAAAAAAAAAAAAAAAAAAATCACAAAAAACATTAAAAAAAAAAACGAAAAAGCGCAGATGAGG